CCAAACATTTCACTTCATAATTGCTGAGATATTTGCAGAAATTTTGCACCCAAAGCGTTTGCCGTGTATCTGTGTTTTTTCCAAAAATGTCAGAAAATTAGATTGTGGAATTTGAAGCGGTAAACGCTTGATTACCTTACAAAATCAAGATTTGGTAATAAACTATTTTCGAAGCTCCCAAATTCGAAGGATTTTGTAAGGTTTAACGCATTTTTGTTTTGAGCCATTTTTTGTAAAATTGAGGCTTTCGAAAAAATGATTTTGAAAGGCCTAAAATGCTAGTTTTGAAAGACTTAAGTAGTGGTTTGCATCAAGCACCTCGCTGTTGAAAAGAGAAAGAAAAGCTACTTTTGATACAATTTAGGTTACTCTTCTATCGCTATTCGCTACGATTTCGGAAAGTTAGAAGGAAGCGGAAAGTTCTCATTACTTTTGATCAAGATCACGAAAATCACTGAAAGTATTTTTGTTCGAAAGCGGAGATTTACACGCAAAACTGCTGTATCTTTGCCGTAATTAGTATGAGAAAATATGCAAGAGTTCTGTCAGATTCGAAGAGAACACTCAAAATTGCCAAGCGAGATCACTACAAATGCTGATAGGGCCGGGTGAAACCTAAATAGAAGTAGGTCTTTGGTACAAACGTTTACTATGTCAAATCAGAGGAATGTACTAAACCCTACTGAGGTTTATTGAATGATTGAGTTTCGATCACAAATCGGCTCGACACTAAAAGTGTCAAAAAAACTAACAACATTTCTTTAACTCCTTTGAAAATAATAATTCTGCTTCATCCATTTTGGCAAGAATAACTTATCACCTAGAGGGGATAGATTCCCGAGGTAATGTCTTTGAGCTGATTTTGAGCAAGTAGCGTCCCCTACCAAAAAAAGAATTTTCGATCTCATTTCAACAGTCACTAGAGTCAATCTATTCTGATCCCTTTCGGTTCTTGATTTGAGTAAAAATCACGATGCGTTGATATTTTTTTCGATTTTCAGAAAATTTTTTGCATCCTGGAACATTTATCATTACAAAAAACTCTTCCTATCCTTTACTTATTTCGATTCTCAAAGATTTGCATCCGACACGGATCAATAGGAATTGCCCCTCCAAATATCGATGTAGTTCTCAAGTTATCCCTTCAGAACCGGAAAAAGTCAAATTATGACTGACTGAGAGATTATGACCAACCAAAAGACAGTGACACCGAAATTCACAAAATACAGGGTGTCCCAAAAGTATGTACACACTGTTTGATCGTTAATACGTCTTTTCCCAAGAAGTCCTTTGCCCACCTTCACGTAACATTTTGTAGACCTGGCTTCAACTTAGATTTGGAGTATGGAGCGAATCACGGATCGGTTTTCATTACTGTAAGATTACGGTTGGAACTTTCAGCTTACAGCGTCATTGCAGATTTACCGTGTTTCAAAAAATTTTCCAAAAAATCTGAAAGTAGTGCACTAGGGTTTTCAAGCTCGCTGGTTTTATTACTCAACTTTTTACAACTTTGCAAAGCTTTTAAAATGGCGTAATCACGATTTTATGAGGTCTTGTAAAAACAGCTATTGCGGTTTACCTGGCATAACTTATAAAGGAAGCATTATTTCAAAGTGCAAACATCATATTTGGTTTTATCGGCTTGAGTTGGCCTAGTATAAAAGTTTTCTGGCTGTTCGGTTTGCTGGTAGGCGAAATAGGGTCCTCAATGGATCACAATTCTTCTTGAAATCTCCACCGTAATCCTACAGTAATGAAGAGGGACCAGTAATTCGCTCCATACTATCCGTTGAGGACCCTATTTCGCCTCAGAAAGCAAACCGAACAGCCAGAAAACTTTTATACTAGGCCAACTCAAGCCGATAAAACCAAATATGATGTTTGCACTTTGAAATAATGCTTCCTTTATAAGTTATGCCAGGTAAACCGCAATAGCTGTTTTTACAAGACCTCATAAAATCGTGATTACGCCATTTTAAAAGCTTTGCAAAGTCGAAAAAAGTTGAGTAATAAAATCAGCGAGCTTGAAAACCCTAGTACACTACTTTCAGATTTTTTGGAAAATTTTTTGAAACACGGTAAATCTGCAATGAGGCTGTAAGCTGAAAGTTCCAACTGTAATCTTACAGTAATGAAAACCGATCCGTGATTCGCTCCATACTCCAAATCTAAGTTGAAGCCAGCTCTACAAAATGTGCTTAGGGGTAGGCAAAAGACTTCTTGGCAAAAGAGATATCAACGATCAAACAGTGTATACATACTTTTGGAACACCCTATAGAATTGCCATCCACTTTTCAAAGTCTGGAGCTCACTATACGTGAGAGCCATAGCAAATTGGTTTTTAAGAAAAGCATTGACGGAAAGTAGACAACTCTGAGACTGCGATAAAATTCATGATATGGCTTTGATTCGATCTTGAAAACTTGCAAATTTAGGATTTCAACCTTGATATTTATATATTTAAAATGTCTGCACATTCAGTTACCAAACTTATATTTTTGTCTGTTTGTCTGTCTCTCTCTCTGTCTGTCTGTACGTATGTGCGCAATAGAGATTTTTATTATTAAACCGATTTGGACCAAACATGGCACACACACTTCGGGGCGGGGAGCGTGTCATAGGCTACTTTTCGTTATCGATCGATATCGATTTTTTTTGTTTTTATCGATTTTTCGCAGAATTCACCTACGGGGCTGAGTGTTGGCACGGGGGGGGTATGTGCGCATGGCGATTTTGAATACAATATTAGGTAGTTTTCAGAATTATCGATTACTTTTATCGATTTTATCGATTTTTTTGCAGGGTTCACCTACGCTGCTGGGAGTTGGCACGGGGGGGGGGGTTATGTGGGCATGGCGATTCCGTGGGGCTTTATACAAACCGCTGGGAAGCTTTCGAAAAGTGCCAGCGGTTCCGCAACACTTTGACATTCCAGTACTTCCGCAGGGTTTTGAATGTGCTGTGTCGTATGATGTTTCTCGACAACAACTAGAGTGCATTATCGGAAATGAGGTCGTAGTGCAGAGTATAGTAGGTGAGTCTCGCAACCAATATAGTAAGGTTCAAATCTCGCCTAATTACTATCTTTTGCCGTTGTGGTTCGCATTCTTCGGACCTTGCGCAACACGTCGTTTGAGAACTTCCGCAGCAGTTTACGGAACTTCCATAGGCGACTCGGCGGAACTTCCGCAAACGTTCTGCGGAAGTTCCGGTCAGTTGTCTGAGTTATGATGAAAGAAAAGAAATACGAAGGACATAGATTATTTAGCTAGTTTACGCTGCAGCTTGTGCAGAAGCACTTATGCTCTTCAATAATTGACTAAAGAATAGAAGATCTTATTCCATAGATTCAGATTACAGTGGCCTCGACTAGGAAACCTCTCGTGTTTTAAATGTTAAAAAATTAGCAGAGTGTAAAGCGAACAACCCTAAAGAGAAGAATCAAAACATTTCAGTGACAATCGCTGGTGCCCCTAGGAAGTACCAAAGTCCAAGATACAGAACCGAAGATCCACCAATCGGTGATCTATTTGGAATTTCAGGAAAAAGCTAGAGCAAATTGGAGATCATTTCTTACCCTTAAAATGCTCACTTAAAATTTTTTTTAAACTGGAAAAGTAGCAGGCTTTCTAGTGATAAAGCAAGCGGATGTAGCTGAGACCCTACCGACCAAAAAAAACTAGTGCTTCACCCTAAGCCCCCTACTGAGCTTGTGCTACTACTTTGTCTGAATTCTAACTTCGAAGTAGAAGAAAAATTTTTAGACAGACCAACACATACAAAGGGATTTTACGATGTGTGACTTCTACAAGAGTGGCGTCTCTTTGGAACTAGTATAAAGCAACTTTCAGTACAATATTTCGGATCATTACAATTTAAAGTGTCGCTTCGTTCTCTCACTGAAAAGCATTAATTCGCTTCGTATCACAATCCAAAAAATAGGAATTTTTACACATCTACAACAACTTTAGTTCTCCAAACTAGAGCACAAACTAATGCCATTAAGGTAATAAAAATAAGTCGAAAATTTGATTTTTTGGATTAAAAGTTGAAAAAGCATGCCATTGCCGAGATATTGAACGAGCAAAATTTTGTTATTAAGAATTTCCAAGAGGTGCTAATCCAGCGGTAGAATACTGGTTACAAAAATGAAGTCAAGCTTTCATTAGATATCTGGAACCACTGAAAAGGACCACATTATATTTTTATCTTATTCATGAATGCATATTCCTAGATCCTTGACTTGAATCAAATTTTGGTGATGAATGCTATGATTTTCAATGCATTGATGAAATGGCATTTGCAAATTTTTCAAAAAAAAAATAATATAACCCCCTCTCCATAAACCAAATATGGCATCATCTAGCACATGTACATGCTAGCTTCGCCCGGAACGCGTCAACGTTTGTTTCGGCACGTCGCTGGAACGGCGCTGGCACAGTGCGGGCACACGGACAAGTCTGAACGCTGACTCATTGTTACGACGGTGACTAAGGTTGAATAAAAGTCTGACACGGCGCCAACAGAAAAACCTCTTATAGAGATTATCGTAGCAAGGAAGTGACTAATGCCTAACTTAGAGTGTAGAAGTAACAGACAAGATAACAGTTCTTATTCAGCACTCATGACAGGAAGTAATAGCATTGTTATCTGGACAAGGTGTCAAAAAACTGGATTGATACTCTTGATTCATCACCAGAGATGGACAAATAAGTTTTTTCGTAAAGAATTCAGGCCTTGATAACGTCCCTGGCCGGTAATGATGATTTTTTGGAATTTTTTCTCCATTGATCCTTTGCATACTCTTGACACTATACTAGTATTATAACATTACGATGAACTTTTTTTTGATATTTTCCTACCCAGTAATCCTCTTTTACACTTGACACTATACTAATAACTAAAGCTACAAAATCACTATAAATACACCTTAACGCATAGCTTCAACAGGGTTACCCTAACACCTCAAGTCATCCTACCCATCTACTCTTCAACTATGAAAACTCTTTTACTATTTTCGCTGATTTTCTGTGCTGTTTTGGCGGCGTATGATATACGTTTTTCAAAAGAAGTATCCCCTGGCCCCATCCCCCCATTTTGCCAGAATTGCTTGGACCTGGTTGAAAAACTGAAAGTTGCCTTCAAAGAGGGTAAAGAAGTGAAGGCGCTGAAGGAGGTAAGGATTTTTCAGTCTTAACAATTAAAGCGCTAAAATTTTAAATGCAACCAATACTAGGAAAACAGTAATAATCCCACTGTATCATTGCAGAAGTTCCTCCAAGAAATAATGAAATTTTTTCAGATTGCTCACAAATTTTGCAAAGAAATATTGCCACCGCAACTCAAAGTAAAATGCCACCATAAAGTGGAAAGACATTGGAAGAAAGTTATGAAAATGCTGGAGGTGAGCATTCTTATAAAAGTTTTGTGAAAAATTATATTTTTCTCTCAGATAACCATCGATTATGTAGCTGACCAGAAGTATTCGAGTAATGAAATTTGGAATAATTACACCAATAAAGAAAATTATGCATTTCAGGATGCCGTTGATTCCAAAAAGATGTGCCAAGCATTCCGTCTCTGCAATTAGGCGGTTCCGCTTCCCAAGAAACGGTAATCTGTGTCTAGTGTCATTTCAGAACTCTTATTTGTAAATATTGAAATCTCATTTACTCCTGTATAAATTATCTTCGAAAGATTGAAAATTTATTGCAAAAAGAAAAGTTTGTATTAAAATTCACATGGAAGATTGTGTTCTATGAGATCGAAAGGACATATTCGTTCAAGGATTCCCGCACATGAAATCTTACCAGTTTTAATCACTCGGATGCGTGCCTATATCGTCTCTAACCTAATGAATAATGAAAATTATCAGAATGTAAAATTGACGAATTTGAGACCTGGTTAGTTCCACTTACGAAGAGTTGTTCAGAAAGATGAAAAATCAAAGGATATATAGTCCCTTAAGGCACGAATATAACTGGAGAGGAGTACCATGGTTCTTGCTCACTTATGCAAAATTCATTTACAAGCCATAAGGTTCCATAGAGTGTGTAAAACAGACATCGAGATTACTGCAGCTATGCGGGTATTATTAATCTCTCATCAACTGAACTTATCAACTCACATCTAATTTCAGTACAATAAAAATTCCGTTTTAAAACTACACCGAGACAAAATTTTATACATGTGGTTCATAGCTAAAATCTGAACACCCAGCCCTACAAACTTTGCATTGCCTTGTTTAAATCCTGAAAATGGAGCGAAATAAGATTTGGAATAGCTTGATTTAAATTGAGAAATTTTCGTTTGCATAAATGAACTCGGTATGAGTTCTGCAATATTAACGTTATGGATTTCTTTACACAAAAAAATCGCATAGAGAGAAAACTTTTCGCGAGCGAATGCTTCATCTATTAAAAAGCTAGAACCATCAGTATTTTTGCAAGAAAGTTTGAAATTTGAAACCAGGCTTTCTCGATCAGCCTCAATCATTACTCATTTTTCCATCACCTCAAATTGTTGCTCAAAAAATGATTTTTCTGAAGGTGATAATCTCATCTCAAGAATTAAATTACTATGTACTCCAGAATGGGACAGAAATGCTATTCCATATGAAAAAAAAGCATTCTAGTAAAGGGTCAGAACCCATCTATCTCCTTTGTTCTAAGCAACCAGTAAATCGAGAGATTTGTAAGATCATCATGACTAAGTTCCATTTAGAAAAAACAAAGTTGAAAAACTCAAGAATTTTTTGCGGAAAATAGTAATACAAGACCGACACCAAATGAACAAAGCAGCAAAGAACTTCGGATCTTGCACCTTGCGCATCAATTGTTAGTAGAATTAGCCATAATTTTCGAGAATGCCAGGGAAAAATTGATACTTTCCTTCACGCTCAGTGAATTTCGAAAGAACACAGGAAAATGTGCCAGGCAAGACCCTTCAATAAATTTCTTCCAAAGTACATGTGATACCAAAATTTAATGAATTGGCACTTCATTTGAAACTCCGATCCAGGGTTCGGCACGGCTGGCACCGGGTCAAGCTGGATATCCTTTCTGGGACAAAAAGCAAAGGGGGTATCGTTTTATCTCGTTTTTTGAGGGGGTTTTCACGTTTGGGTTTAAGGTCAAAGGGGACTTCATACATAATTTTCAAAATCAAAGCGGACCTTGATTTGAAATCCCTTGAGGCTCACTTGTGCCGAGCATTGCTCCAATCAGAAATGCTTTGAAATCAACTTCGACAGAACTTCAACGGATTCAATCCACTGAAGCAGAAATATCATCTCCTTCAACATGTGCTGTCCCACCTAGAGCGCTAGAAAACTAAGAGTGACTAATCCGCTAAGAGCATTTATAAGTCAGTAAAAGATTACATGACGTTTGGAACTCAAGGTAGGGGAAGGGCAGGAAATTTGTTTGAGCTTTAAGCGTTAGCAAACCCCTCCGACAAATTTTCTAGCATGCCCAAATTTTTCTTGAGCTCGCCCCCCTGAAATTTAGAAGAACTTTTTTCAGAAAAATATTTGCAATGAGAAATGACTTTTAATAAATTATAAACTCTTTCTGATTATGTGAATCTAAACAGCCTATACTACCCTCTCCGGACACAGTAGATTCTTAACACTCTACTGCAGAATTATCATGTCGGATAATTTCTGCTACACTTTTTTTTGAAATTCTGAAAAATTCCGGAAGCCCTCTACAATCTTCAAATTTGCTTCATATGTAGGACATGCCAAGGCGTACACAACAGTATGCCTGATGCTGCAAATGCAGAAATAGCTAGCAAGTTCACGACAACTTTATAAGCACACCCTGCGTCCAATTATGTTTTTTCTCTCCTATAATTTTTTAATAATTTTTTTTGATATTTAAGCACCGTCTCTTTTACGGCAGCACTTTGTGCCGCTAACATGCCAAAGCGAGGAGTGAAATTGAATTAAAAGAATTGAAAATTTGTCAAAAATTTTTGTTTTGCGTGCATCGAATAGAATTTGATAAGATGGCATAGGTAATTTTTACAAATTTTTGAAAATTATTTTTCAGGTTACATCGAATGTGCGCCGACTTAGCGCAACATGTAGCTCATGTGATTGTATGACATGATTGTGCCATCGCCCTATATTCGCCAAAAACTATGTGCCACACCCTGCCCGATTGCCACATTGCCCAGTCTCTACCTGATCACCTGGAAAAATGCCAGCCCTTTGACAAAAATGTCCATGAACGTATTCCCATCAAAAAAGTGGGCTTTTTGTGCATGGACCACAGATCTGACGGTACCGGTGGGTAGACCTTTGCAGCTCTCAACACTCCTTAAACATAAGATTTTTCGAAAATTTCTTAATTTCAATGAAAAAAAAGAGAGTGTAAGAACAATTATCCGACAAAATACAAAAAATACGAGTCTGTGGTTTTCAAATAGTTTTGTGCTAACTACTCAGACAATTCACCGGAACTTCCGCAGGACAAGCAAAATTTGCAGCGATTTTGCAGGATTTTGTTTGCTATTGCAGAAGTGGAAACTTTGATTGGGAACTTCCGCAAATTTTCACTTCAGACTAGATGGAAACGCGAACTTCCGCAGGACTTTCGAAAAGCGCTGCGGAACTTCCGAAATAAAGGCAGCGGTTCCGCAGCACATTGAATACCAGCACTTCCGCAGGGTTTTAAATGTGTTGTCTCGTATGATGTTTCCTCGCCAACAACTAGAGTACATTATTGAGCATGCCAGACGTAGTGCAGGGATAGTAGGCGAGCCTCACAGACGATAAAGTAAGGGTCCAAATCTCGCTTAGGCGTACTCTTTTGCTGTTGTGGTTCGTATTCTTCGGAATTTCCGCAGCACGTTTACGGAACTCCCGCAAGTGACCCAGCGGAACTTTCCGAAACGTTCTGCGGAAGTTCCGGTATGTTGTCTGAGTAGAAAAACACGACTAGCTGAAACAGTTCTACGGAAAAAACTTCAAACAGCGAATCTTTGGCAACACAGCATGGAAAGAGTAATTCTGAAATTTTAAAAATGTTTGAAAAAAATTTATAGTCTTATCGAACAAGGTTGAACGTACAGGTGACTAATGCTTATACACTTTTTGCCAAATGTGAACTGTCACAAGGTGTCACTAACACCCCTTCAGCTCATGAGGAAGTGATAGCTATGTCATCTGATTAAGATATCACCATCAAAGGAATTGGAATGAAGCATTGACTTTTGCTGTTTTACAGAATTTCTTTCTCACCTTCAAGCATTGATAACGTTTCCGTTTACGATAGTTTTTCCTATTTCAATCGTAAAAAGGTTTTTTCCATTGACTCATGACACCGCAATCATGTAACTATACAGTCGTTATAAATACAACGCACCCATTAGCTTCAACAAGTCTAGAATTTTCCTTGGACTTGATTTTCCACAGCTTTTTCTTCTACTATGAAAGCTATTCTACTTTTTGCGCTTGTTCTCTGCGTTGCTTCGGCGTATGTGGCGCGGGTCGCAGATGACGTAAACGACAAATCTCCTTTTTGCGAGGTTTGCCTAGATCTGGTCAAAGAGATGAAAGATGCCCTAAAACAGGGTAAACAACTGAAGGAGGTAGGTATCCTGGGTATCTGATCTTTTTCGTTGTTACCTGTTACAAATCAAAGCGGTTTGAAACTGGGCGAATTACCCTCCTAGAATTACTAAAGGAAATTGTTCGACATAAAAATAACTCTGCTGAACTTTTTCAGATTGCTCATAAATTCTGCAGCGAAAAAATGCCAGATCATCTCAAAGCGGTATGCCACATAGAGGTGGATATATACTGGAAGAAAATCATGGAAATGATAGAGGTGAGCCTCAACATTTTGGCGGAATCAAAAAAATGATTTTCACTTTCTTGTACAAGATCATACAGCCTGATATTCAGTAGGACAGAACTTAGAAAGTACTCTTATCACGCATTAAGAATAATCTAGAATATTTCAGAAAAACGTTGATGCCGAAAAGATCTGCCAGACGTTCCATCTTTGCTAGTCAAATCTAGCCACCCTTCAACCTGTCTCAAAATCTTCATAACCGCGATGTGTAAATATTGTTCATATAATTAATCTTGTACATGTCTAATAAATATTTAGCAGGTCTCAGGAAAAAGACAAGAAACAAGGTGATCCCAGGGATTTTTACAGAGAAAAAAATCCAGATTTTTTTTCTACAAATAGTAAAAGATTATAGACGATTAGATGCAATACTATACAGAATATGGCCAGTTTGGCGTCTATCCTCCGTACCGATAGAAGAATTTAATCCACTACGGAGGCTCATCATTAGGAAACAGTGGTTCTCCTCATTGTTTCAGTCCTAATCTCATCACCTGAAATTTCAAAACTTCGAAGAAATTATTTCTGTTCATACAAAATAAGCATGATAATTGCTATAATACCAAAGAATGAAAGTGCCACATTCAAAATGACAATCTCAGACAAATGACCGGAACTTCCGCAGAGCGCTTGCGGAAGTTCCGCCGAGTCACCTGCGGAAGTTCCGTAAACGTGCTGTGGAAGTTCCGAAATGAGGTCCTGCGGAAGTTTCGAAGAATGCCAACCACAACAGCAAAAGAGTATACCGAAGCGAGATTCCAACCTCACCCTTGAACCGACGTGAGACCCACCAACTATCCTCTACGCTACTGCTGAATGTTCGATAGTGCGCCCTAGTTGTTGGCGAGGCAACATCACGAGACAACACATTCAAAGTCCTGCGTAAGTTCTGGCAGGCCAAAGTGCTGCGGAACCTCTGGTGTTTTTCGGAATTTCCGCAGGATTTTGAAGAAGATTCTGCGGAAGTTCCGATTTTCAACCAGTTTGGCATGAAAATCCCGCGGAAGTTTCGTTTTTTAACGTTTTCATCTCTGCAATAGTGAACAAAATCCTGCGGAACTTCCGCAAGTTTGGCTTGTCCTGCGGAAGTTCCGGAGATTTGTCTGAGATGTTTATAAGAAAAAGTAGCATAGCCTTTGTGGCAACCTAATATTTGGAGAATTTTTTGAGAGAACAAGTAGATATAATGGAAAAGTACACCGAATGAAGTGCTGAAATATTCGTAAAATACTTGGGCGTTTTTTTTTTTCAGAGAATAACTTTCGTAGGTATCACTAAACTCACCTAGCGGCGCATCTTATTTGAAGTAGTGCCTGTTTCAATACAATAGGTTTACGGTAGCTAATTATTTCTCACGTATCTTTTCAAAGTTTCGCTTACGATAAGAAGCAATCTACGACCAATATCGGCGCAATCTTGCTTGTGTGAAAATTGAAAAAATTTGTGAAAAATGACTAGCCTTAAAAACCTACCGTTGCCAGACAGGCACACCAATACGTAGAAGGATGAGCAGCGCCGCGCTGAGTTGAATAGAATTTTTGAATTCAGAACTGGCCCACTCAAAACCGAGACATGGTGATGCGACGCTAACGCCACCTGACTCGAGTAATCATCGCGTCTTTTTTGAGCTAATCCCGCAAGTGCTACTTTGTATAACAGCTAAAATTTTTACATCCTCATTTACAGCGTTATCTTGAAAGGAGTTATGCATGCGTCTCAGATAACGCTGTTTCAATAGGTACCACATTTTACATTATATTTCACAAGAAAGATACTAGTGATTAGAGCACAAAAAATGCCAAGTGACTTGTATTTATTTCTTGCCAACATTGCGCTGTCATAAGGCTTCGCTAATACTTCGACTTCTGCCGCTCATGACAGGAAGTATGCTTATAGGTTTACTTAGGCAAATCACCGGAACTTCCGTAGGACAAGGCAAATTTGCAGAAGTTCCGCAGGGCTTTGTTCACTATTGTAAAGACGAAAACGTTGAAAATCGGAACTTCGCGGGATTTTCATGCCAAATTGGTTGAAAACCGGATCTTTCGCAGAAGCTTCTTTAAACTCCTGCAGAGACTCCGAAAAATGCCAGAGGTTCCGCAGCACTTTGGCCTGCCAGAACTTCCGCAGAACTTTGAATGTGTTGACTCATGATGTTGCCTCGCCAACGACTAGAGTGCATTATCGAACATGTCCCCCGTATTGTAGAGGATAGTAGGTGGGTCTCACAGTCAATGGAGTGAAGTTCAAGATCGCTTCGGTGCTCTCTTTTACTGTTGTGATTGGCATTTTTCGGAACTTCCGCAGGTGACCCGGCGGAACTTCCGCAAGCGCTCTGCGGAAGTTCCGGTCATTTGCCTGATACTTAAGCCAACATTGAAGAAGCAGAGAAAAAAAGAGAAAGAAAAGAAGAGGAACCGAAGCGAAACAGTATGGAAGAGAAGAGCAAAGCTGTACGCTGTTGATTGCTGAAGATGCGTTTGCTGTTTCGCAATCGTAAATACATGCACTGTCAAAATCCTGCGGAAATGCTGGCAGGTCAAGTGCTGCGGAAGTCCCGGTTTGCGATCGCTTGACGTCAATTAACTGCGGAAACTCTGCATGATGAAGTGTGCACCTTCCCAATGGTTAAAAAAGTGCTGCGGAACCGCTGACAATTCTGCTTATCCTGCAGAAGTTCCAGTGAATTGTCTAAGGTGAAAGCGATCACTTAAATCGGGTGACACTATCAAAAAAACCTACAATGACAATCTAACTTAAGATACTGTAAAAGTACACAAACATTTTTCCTTTTGTGTAAAATTTGATAACGGTTCTAATGACCAGGCAATTTTTTTTCAAATTTTACAAAGCCATGTTTTTATACTTGACACTATACTATTATTACAGCTACACAATCACTATAAATTCAAGCTGATGTCCAATTTTGACAGAATCACCTTAACTTCCATCAATTAACGATTTCTCGATATAGCTATCCTACAGCGATGAAAGCTATTTTACTACTTTCGTTGCTTTTCTGCGCTGTTTCGGCATGGGTGACATATGTGCCAAATTACGTCGACAACAAACCTCCATGGTGCGAGTTCTGCATAGATCTCGCCGAGAAGCTGAAAAATGCGCTTCTAGGGGGTGAAGACCTGAAGAAGGTAGGTATTTATTCCAAACATTATTTTTTCGTCCTATCAAGGAAAGTCATTCTTATACGCAAATCATCGCTAAAACCAAGTAGTGCGGCTGCGTTTATTCTCAATAAAACTTCAAAATTTTTTAGGTTGCCCATAATTTCTGTAAAGAAAAAATGCCATCATCTTTTATAGAAGTATGTCATATAACTGTCGATAAGTACTGGGATAAAGTCGTGGAATCAATAGAGGTAAGTTTCAGCAAATTGCAAAACTGAAAACTACAAAGTATATATTCCTTTTAGAGAGCTTAAAAAGTAATTATGTTTGTCATACGCAGCTGATTTCAGGAGAACACTAATTTCATCAAGATTTGCATTGATATCTGCTAAGTAACTTCAATTACGTGGTTCCATTTCGTCACTTTCACATCATTAAATGTAAATATGGTTCACATAACATATCTAGTATGCATTATTCGAATAAATAATTTCAACCTAATTTCAAGACAAAACAGGATGACTTCAGGAATAGAGATAAAAAGTTTGGATAACAGCTAAACATCCAAAAGCTGAAAACCAAAGAAAAGCTTGAAATCTAACAGTAAAATTCTTCAAATGTTTGCAACCTTAATAACAACCAATTTTGCTGAACTCAAACAAATGACCGGAACTTCCGCAGAGCGCTTGCGGAAGTTCCGTAAACGTACTGCGGAAGTTCCGAAACGAGGTCCTGCGGAAGTTTCGAAGAATGCCAACCACAACAGCAAAAGAGAACACCGAAGCGAGATTTGAACCTCCCTCTATTGACTGTGAGACCCGCCTACTATCCTCTACGCTACGGCTGACATGTTCGATAATGTACTCTAGTTGTCGGCGAGGCAACATCACGAGACAAAACATTTAAAGTCCTGCGGAAGTTCTGGCAGGCCAAAGTGCTGCGGAATTTCTGGCATTTTTCGGAATTTCCCAGGATTTTGAAGAAGGTTCTGCGGAAGTTCCGGTTTTCAGTCAGTTTGGCATGAAAATTCCGCGGATTCCGATTTTCAACGTTTTCATTTTTGCGATGGTGAACAAAACCCTGCGGAACTTCTGCGAATTTGGCTTGTCCTGGAAGTTCCGGTGATTTGTCTGAGAACATGCATCTATTGACTATCATCACTGAAGATGAGCGCTGAGGATAACAACTGATATCTTTAACTATTATGAGAGTCAAACATTCAAGAGTTTTTCAATGTCGATAACAGAAGATGATTGAAAAAGAGAAAGTGACAGGTGAGAGGATGAACATCATTTGATGATAAGCTCTGGCTTTTAGTAAAACCCTATTAGTCTACAAATCATGAGATTTGGTAAGACGCAAAAAAACAGATACCAAAAATAACTTCATACATACAAGAAGTACCTATCGCTCATCAGTAGTTACTACCTAGGTTACTGCCAAAGATCAGCACTGGCTTCAGAGGCCGTGTCCAGGCTAAATCAACCCCCTCCGATTATTCGATCCTGAATGTAGGCCCCACAAGAGGGGCAACCTGCGTCGATCCAACCCTCTAATGTTGTTTGTGAATGGAGATAAGGGGCCTGGAACAGCCAAAATGAGCCCCGCCCACTCACGTACTGAAAGCCGTCCGCGCCCTCAAGACAGGGTCTTCAGGAATCGGGGTTTTGGGGGGTTTTGGGCTATTTGATCCTCATAACTGTAATCAGGGCCATGAAAAGGCCCTTGAATGACAAAAACATGGGAGGCGAAGTTTTGGGTGGACGCTGCCTTCAAGGAATTCAAGAAACGAAGTCCCCTTTGACTCCCCAAACTTTCACAATTTTCCCTTTGACCTTTTTTGCCTCTATCAATTGCATCTTGAAGTTTTTGAATGTACTGTAAATGACAAAACTAGAATCAAAAAGAAACAATTGAGATTTTTTCTGGTTTGAAAACTTTAACATTATTATGAGATAGAGAACGGAAAATAAGAGCTAAGGAAAGGAAAAATCAAACGAATGGTATGGATGTGTAGATTTTTGGAACTGCTGCGCGATGTCTAATTAAGCGATCTTATTTATTTATTTATTTATTTATTTATTTCAGTACACTCATGGTGCGCCTTAAATGAGAAAAAAATAGACATTTTTTTTACATTTGTACACTTACTGGAATGATAAGAAGTTATACCTGACTTCTTCTTATATCTTTTCTCCATAATATTTTTCGAATTTTTTATAGTAAAGACTTTTTCCTCATTTAAAGATCATACTGCAAAAAAAGTTGTTGAAATTTTTCGATCTTGCATAATTTTGAAGCAAAAAAGGAAAGGCAATGATTTCAACAACTCTTTTCGCAGTATAAATCTTTGCATGAGGAAAAAAGTCTCTGCTTTAAAAAATTCGGAAAAATTATGGAGAAAGGATAAATGAAGAATTAAGGTATAGATTCTTACCAGTAAGTGTACAACATTCGAAATTTTACTGTACTTCAAAGCCATCAGCGACTAAAGTGCAAAAAAGCTGGATAACGAAAATAGAGAAGAAAAAAAAGAAAATCGTGCTGGATTTCCTAAACAAAAATCCTGTTTTAGATTTTGTAAAGCAGATCTTTCACGAACATGTAGAGGCTCTAGTAAAAAAATCCCATTTACCCATTGAGTTTAGGCAAGAAGAATGAGAAGAAAGAATTTTTGACGCCGGTCTCATGCGTTGAATAACCATGAATCATCAAATGAACTTACTTTTGAAGGCAAGCATATGAAAACTAAAAGATAGAGACCCGGACGATTTTAGGTTGAATCGAAAGTTCTGCCGTTTTGATTTTGAAAAATTCGTGGTTGCTCCCTATGTGAACGTATTTGCTTACAAAAAATTCCCTCAAGAAGAGAACCTCGACTTTTTTACCCTATTTTGCGGGTCTTTGACGACAAGAGATTTCAAAGATAAAACTTCGAAAAGGAGAGCCAACTAACTCTAGTTTCGGAAATGAATCGTCATAAACCTCAGATGCTGCAGAATTATCCGAGAGCGTGTTTTTTAAAAGTTTTATGAGCTGCTCCAATGGTGTCAATTTTATGCAGATCGAACCTTTCCACGGAAAGTTATGATTTTCGAGAAAATGCGGAAAATGCGTGAATTCGTTTGCTGTTTTTGGCATTTTTCTCGGAAATCATAAATGTGTAGAAAGGCTCGATCAGCATAGACTTGGCAACATTCGAAAGAGCAACTCACAAAACCTTCAGAAAACATGCTTTCAGATTTTTCGACAGCGTTTCAGATTTAAGACGTGTTTTTGAAGTGGTTCTCTTTTCAAGATTTTATCTCTGAAGTCGTCAAAGCCGCAAAGTAGCTATAAGAAAAAAGATAGAATTTTCTATCTTAAAATATTTTTTACAAATAAATAAGTTTACATAAGGAGCAGTTATGAATTTTTCAAAATCAAAGCGACATTACCAGGGCCGGCACAAGCTGGCACCAGAAAATTTTCAAAACGAAGTCCCCCTTGACTTTTGGGAATTTACGAAGTCCCCTTTGATCCTCAACGATATCCTCTCTAAAATCCTAAAGAACCCCCCGCCCCCCCCCCCCCCAAAAAAACGAAACGTCGACCAAAAAAAAAGATCGACGTCGCAATTTTGCGTATATCTTCGCTCAAAAACGAAACCCCCATTGCTTTTTGCTCCAACGATATCCAGCTTGCCCTGTGCCAGCTGGTACCAGGCCCTGGGCATTACTTTCGGAACTTAATAAAAATATTGTATGAAAAACAATTTCCTCTTTGGTACAAGCGATTTGAAAGAAAGGTTCAAAAACATGTACCTGACGTAATCGTTATAGTATAAGGTGTACTTATTACGAAAAATTTCGCTCCAGTTCAGACCCTCGATAACGGTTTAGTTGCGAGTGAGCATTTTTTTTGCGTTTTATTATCCCATGATCTACATGCTGACACTATACTATTACTATAGCCAAACAATCGCTATAAATACAACGGCGACATAGCTTTGACATAGTCTTCTAAGACTTTCTGTATTCTATCAATCGCACTAAGTTTCCTGTTTAAAATGAGGTTTATTCTACTTTTTGCGCTGGTTCTATGCACTGTTTTGGGACGTGTGAAAAGAGTGGCAGATGACGTCGACGATAAACCTCCATGGTGCGAGATCTGCATAGATCTAGCCGAGAAGCTGAAAGAAACCCTGAAATGGGGTGACAATTTGAATGAGGTATTCAGATCTTTGAAAACTTTATTTTCTTGAAAAACAAATCCCTTTAGATTTTATAGCATTTACCTTAAGGCAAAGGACATACCTCACGCGATTTCAGTCGCCACGCGATCTGGCAATTTGCCATATGTCTTCAAATTCAATACTGGAAGACCTCAAATGCACAGCATATATAACTTTCGTAGGTTGATAAAATGCCCCCTCTTCCGCACATTCAGAAACCCCGTAGGATGAGTTATGAACATTTGGAGTACTGCTAAATCGCGTGGCGACTGAAATCGCGTGAGGTATGTCCGAGGCCTAACACGTTGACGACAACGTGCATTTTTAGGTCTGCCTCTTGGGACAATGCCAATTCAACGGATAATTCAGAAAATTTTCAGCTAAAATCATGCAGGTCTCAACTACAGCATGCCTACAGTAGTTCTATAAAGCGGCAAAAGCATTTTCTAGACTTAAAGCGTAAGCTTTTGAAACGAATGTATTCCAAGATAGCAGTCATCTCAAACAAAATTCAGCCATGACCCGCCTGTGGACACATTGTTCCAAGTGGCAATCATTGCATGACCCACCATGTGGGCTAGTTGTCGTCAGTATGTTAATGCCAGTCAAAACTAATAAATCCGCGGCTAATTTCATAATTTGAACTTTCTTAGGTTGCTCATAAATTCTGCAGTGAAAAAATGCCAACGTCTCTTATAGAAGAATGCCATATAAATGTGGACAAATATTGGGTGAAAGTCATGGAATCAATAGAGGTGAGCTTTAGCAGATGGCAGATAGAACACCAAAAATATATATTTAATTTTATTTGTGGACGGTATCAGATAGTATAACATCAAATCTCCATGAAATCCTGAGGAAATGGATTTGAATCCATATCAAAAACAACTTTTTTCAGGAAAACATTGACTCTACAAAAATTTGCATCAAACTTTGCTGATCAAATACAACCAAGTGGTCCTGTCTCGGTTTTTTCAAAATACTGATTTGTAAATATTTCACACATTTAATCGTGTATTAATGGTTGAAATAAATGTTTGCAATTTGTTTGGAAAGCAAGGGAAGATTATGTACTATACAGAGGTACCTTTGCTTCACTCAATACTGAAGCTAGAAAAATAGAAGAAGAAAATGATCATTTCAGCTTTTATTATTTGGAGATAAGTCAGAGCCAAAAGAATTTTGTTCTTTCATTTCTAACTCTGTAAAGTGCTTGCTAGAAAGCCCTCAGATATTTAACCTTTGATTCAACTGGCATGGCCGCTGGAACGCGGGACTTAGTGACCTAGATAAGGCCGCTAGCGACCGCTTCGCAGTCTGCGTCTCTCTCGCGCGCAAGCTCTCTGATCACTCTGATTATCTGGGTGTATGTCAAGAGGCGCGATTCTTATTGCCAGATGGGCAGCTTATAGCACTATTTAATGTTTTACAAAGTTCTAGAATCACTTGAATTCTCAAACAAAGTATTTTTGATAATTGCACGGGTTGTTCCATCTCATCATCCTGAAATCGATTCCAAACAAAATTGTTGAAGGTCAAAAACCCTTGAGAATGCAGTTAATAGCATTTTGTAAATAATCCAGTAAGTTTTCTAGCAGAAGTCGTCAAACTTATCAAGCGACTACTTCAAACAGCTAGTAAGCCATGGAGTTTGTCCGGCACTTTTTGAACCCTCCCATAGCCCGAAACTGAAATTTCAAGTTGGACAGCCAGAAAAATCGCGCCTCTTGACCGTCTCCCCCATTATCTAGCCTCAACTAGGTTACAGAACCCCGCCTTCCAGCCGCCAAGCCAGTTGAATTAAAGGGCAGACAGCGTACAAGGTGGACGAAAAGTACGAGCGTCACGTTTGCATTTGCAGAATTTTATCAAATAAAACGGAGTTTTATGAAGATAATAATGCATAGTCATCCCTCATCATTTCGTTTGTTTTGCTGATTATTTTCACTCTGTAGATGACAATCTATGACGCCAAGCAGTGAATAAGTGCGATATTCTTCGCCTCAGCACTGTTTTCGTCATAGACTCTATTGTCAGAGAATGAATGTGCTATTCGGTCTGCCACCAGGAATTTCATTAATTCGGAATCTTCCCTTCCCTTCCCACGACTGAATGGCGAAATCTTGATCCTAGCTCACACATGGATCACTATGGCCCGTAGTAAACCTATCGTGGGGCGCCTCGGTCCAGCATCCCGCGAGCTATTGATAGAGATGCGGATCGCTTTTCAGGTATAAAAATCCTTGCGCGCTATTAAAGAGGAAACACCTACATCGCCTGTGCAAGTTTGGTCAAACAGGTATGTGACTGGTACTCAGCCCGCACAACCGTGGTTCGGCGCCGGCCAGTGCCAAACTTCTGCGCATCGCTAGCAATCTTTGATAGCGGCCACTATCGAAGAAAATCGATGACGGCCGCTATCAAGGAATCCACAAACCAAAAGAATGCACAAAACAAAACTGACTTTTTTGAACCAAGATTTCATCAAAAACTGAGGAAGTAGGGACAAAATCGAATGGAAGTAAATAAAGAGATTGTCGCTCTGAGTAGCTTTTGTAAAAAAACCTAAGCAAACTTTGCATAAAGGAAAAAACCTATTCTTCTGTTTTTTTTTTTGCGAAATCACCTGTTCATTGATCCTTTCCTTTTTGGGCACCGGTATTGTGCAGTTTTGCGCGTTCTTCTACCGCAACAATACGTCAAGTAAGATGTCCCGTAAGTTACTCACGAGCAACTTACGGGATTTTTCTGTGCGTCTCATCCTTTGCACACTATTTCGGTCAATTCATCTCGAAATCAGGCTGCTCTTACGGATTTCAGGTGAATTCATCGCGGCACCTGCCCTGACGCTAACCCTTCAGATCAGGTTGTATTCTTAAGCATGCGGGAGTGACCGCTGCTCAATTTATCTTGAATACCTCAACTCACCCCTCACTTGAGATCATCTGAAGTGAAGTGGGGCTTACTACGGGCCTATTAGAAAAGTAGCCTAGACGAACAATCCAAGAAGTTTGCTGCTTTTGTTAATGGCAATCGTGTATACTTCAGTTCAAATTTATACAATTCAGCAAAATTCTATAATCAAACTTGATTCTTAAAGAAATAAAACAAAGCTGGTAAATGCCCAACAATAACAATTCAATTACTAGAACGGCTCGAAAATTCTCGGACATTTTCAGACCGAATTTGCTATTTCTCAAAACCTAATGCATATACATCCCTGAAAATTTCCATGTACTCCCACTTGCATGTAGTGTTAGCTAAGCAAGTGGGAGGAGTCCACGGCCAATGGGGGCGGGGAGCAGAGTTTGCCATTTTTAACTACCTCGTTTTTCTTGTTCTTTGAGCTCGAATTCCGCACAGACTTTGCATGTAAGTATGTATGTTTGTACTATAAATCAGAGCATGTGGGGATTTTGAAACGTTTATAGTGGAACTCTGAGTTAGTCAAAATCTTATGCTTTGGCTTTCGCCTGAATTTTCATAGAAATCATTGATAATGCTTTTACTTACCACAGTTTTGTAGAGAATGCTTTCCTCTATCCAATGGTGTGCTGCATGTCCCAATCTGAGCTCATATCGAAACAAAAACTTTGTCTGAACTTTCGAACCAACCTAATAGATATTTTTTGTGCATGAGTGTAGGCAATGCTTAAAATTTTGACCACGCTAAGCTACATAAAAGATGATAAATTTTTTCCTCGCTGATGACTGTCATATAAATAGAGCCACATCAGCTTTGTCAGCGTTTATCAGCTTGCACGATCACATTTCTCAACATTTTCAATATAAACAGTGGAATGGCAAGCTGTTGAGCATGACATCTGCCAGCCTGTCGCCCTTCATTTTCCCCTCGTATTTGAAAATATTAAGTAAAAGCTCCTTTGAAGTTTTCATTTGCAGAAACATGAGGACAGCGTTGGTAGTCGCAGTAATACTCTCAGCTATTACCATGGCTGTTTCTTATAGGAAGAAACCGCTATGTGAGATGTGTGAAGGACTTATAGAAAAAGTTGATGAGGTTCTTGAAAAGGGAGGAGACATTGAGCAGGTTAGCCTTATTTGCATTATTATCGGAATTGTATTCTGCTGCTAACAACATTGAAATGTCTCTGTTTTCAGGCTGTAGACGAATTTTGTCGTGAAGATGTCCCAAGTTTTCTCGTGGACTATTGTGAAAAGATTATTGCAAAGAATCTCAAAGAAATCATCGAAAAACTCAAGGTAAGCTTGCGTGATTCCCTATTCATGCTAAACGAAAGAATCACAACGGCTGTAGCGAGCCACATTGATGATGCGAGATCTTGGCTTTGTATTACATAGGTCGTTCCGAAGGTAATGTATTTTTTTCCAAGTGAACGCTACAGCTCGTGAAATCAAGATTTCTAGGAGATCTTGAAAGCATTCATGCAGCATTTCATTCCCTTTCTAACGGTTATATGATCTTTGCACGATATTCAATAAGCTCCAAAAAATTACCAAAATCTGCGACCCATGTTTTTTGAAAAGGTCGAGTTTCACAATTTTTCTAAATTTTTAACAATCCCCCGAAGGAGTCCAAGTAACAGCGGATAGCAGACCCTATGGAAAATAGTGCGATTTTTTTCCACTTTCCATGGCTCTTTTTGTAGAGATTTTTTAAAGGAAACATTGAATTTTGGCAGGCTTGTCTCAGACACTAATGCATCAAACCAACAAATTTTCGGATTTTTAAACTCACAAAGATGGACTATGGTTTACACTAATTTTACAAATCAGAGTTTACCGCTTCAGATTAGCAACTTCCGGAAATTTCGGGTACAGCCTGGGGTGTCCTGGGAAACCTAAACTATGATGTTTTTATCTTGGAAAACTTTATGAATCGGAAACCAAAAATAACTGGTAAAAAGAGGAGAAAAAGCTGCGTCGAATGATACCCTTGCCGGTTGTTGTTCTGCGAGGCTTGAGTTGACCAAATATGAATTTTGATAGCACTGAAAAATTGTTTTTAGAAACTCTAAGAAGCAAACTAAGGAAAGATAAAAATTGTTTCGTGTCCTACAGGGTTTGCTCTATTTATCTGTTACTTGTATATCTGGGGAATTAGTACAAAAATATAGAAAATTAGCGGAACTAAGCCAGGACAAAAAGCTTGGGTCGCAGGTTTTGGTGATTTTTTTAAGAGCTCATTGAATTTTATGCAATGAAATTACAACAGTCAGAAAGAGGACGAAATCTTGCATCGACTGATCCCAAGAGCTCTTGAAAATCTTAGTTCCAGAAATGTGGCGGTCATTTGAAAAAAGCGACATTACTTTCGGAATGACCTAATATTCAGATTTTATAATACGAAATATTTAATGACTCTCTTGCAAAGCGAAGACTTCCACACAGCAGATTAATTTTTTTCGTCTAAATGAAACTGGTTTCACTACAAGTTTGTAGTAAAAAACTTGAATCACTTAAAAACCAATCAATAAAGTAGATGTTACAAAACTTTTTTCATCGCCTTAGATTAGGCCTTAATCTCCAAGAAAAATTTTGCACCGAAACAATATTGACCAATACGAACAGATGATATCTTACAAAAGTTGCTTTCGCCTATTCGTGCTCTTCGGGATAGAACTAGATCCTTATTTTTGAACAAAAACTTAAAACAAATAGTTTTTCGCTTCATGTTCGATCAATTAATTACAAGTAGTTTTTAAGTTGCGTTTTTTTTTCAACCTTGGTATTGATGATACCTTTTCCTCTACATTCAAAATCATACCCAAGTCTCTATTTCAGGATCACGAATCACCAGAGAAGATATGCACAGATATTTATCTTTGCGCTGCTTGAATAAAGGCGTTTGCTCATCGATTGTTGCCTAATTATTCCAATGTCGATTTTCTATGAAGTTAAGATGAACTCATGCAGAAAAATGTTATCGCCAAATCGCACCATGTATCAGTAAGCATGAATAAATAAATATCACTACGACGAAAAAAATGTTGTATACGGAAATTCGACACAATTTCACAACTTATGAAGTTACACGAACCACTCGGATATAAATTTGCGTTCCTGGATTAAAACGCGGGATTTTTACGCATTACTATGAGAAAATGCTTCTGATTCCTTAATTCTCGCTTTGATAGCTGACATCATTGGAACCAGAAATAGGATGAGCTCAAATTCTGATGGTTTAAATGGGTGTATCTTCTCATATACCTTCTAGTTTGTCAAGCATGCCCCTGATCTATTGTGAAGAAGACAAAGTTAGGACTTCTTTCAAGATTTTTCAAAGACTTCGAAGAGTCGAAAAGATCCGAGAAGTGTAATTTCTATTTGTATCTATGACAGAAATTTTACGAAAGATAGAGTCAAAAACCTGGCAGCTGCCATCCTGCTATTGAAGTTTGGAAAAAAAGAATGATTGGAAATTGGCATTTGAGTAATTGAATAAATCATAATAAAGTGTTTTAAAGAGGAGAGGGAAGCTATCAGGTTGGAAAGAAAAGAATATTGTATCATATGCTTTTACTATTGCGGCAAAGCAAACAACAAACGTTTAGGTAGCATTTGTAAGAGCAAATCAGCTAATGGCAATCTAGCAGTCGCACCAGGTTTGATCGTCGTTTAGTTCGAAGCCAGTACCTTCATCTTCAAGTTCCAAATGCCCAAAAAATGGAAAAGTAGGTCCACCTTTAGGAATAATACTTACGAGCTTCCACCGCTCACGCATATATAGGGCTTCCGAAAAATCTTGACGATGGCGCGGCCGCGCGCGACACGCACGCACCTCCCAGCATCCGCATCTAGGTTTCATCTCCACTTCAAATGGTTTTTCTGCTTACATGTGACAGTAATTAGACATTGGAAAAGACTGAGCGGAGAGTTAAGGTAGCCATGAGTTATATGAGTTATATGAGTGTTTTCTGCTCCTATGGGCGCAAAGACCGCAGTCAAACCCGTCGTCACGATTTTGCAAACGACCTATACTTTCCACATCGTACATTCATAAGTACAGTTTCGTATCATTCCTTGGCTGAAAACGGAGAAAACGAATTTTCATGCTTTTGGAATACAATTCTGAGCTGTTCCATCTAAGCATAAGTATTTAACGCCTTTAAAAGTGACCGTATAGATTTCCAAGTTTCTATAAAAGTTGTTTCTCAAAAATTGATTCCTGTATAAGGCTAAAAGTTTACGCTTTATTTATTTATTTATTTATTTATTTCATACACGTAAACGTGTGCCAAAGCCTGGGTGAGTGACGCAAACATTGCTAGAGTAAAAAACTAAAAAAGTACGCTTGTACTTCTAACGGTTGGTAGTAGAGAATGAAGTCAGTAGAGCATCAGTGCATCTACAAAAGATTTTTTGGAAGGAAGTATGATTTTTTTCAGTTTCACAGGCATTTGAAGGCAATTTGACTGCTTGAACCAAACTTCTTCTGATTGCATTGATCTTCTTTTGCCACGTGCATCATGAAGGGCCAGTCATACTTCACGCGATTTCAGTCGCGACGTGACTTGGCAATATTCTAACTGTCCATAACTCACTGTAAGCACATTTTAAATGTACAGAAGATAGGGCATTTTATCTATCCACAATATTTACACACACTATGCAAGTCTAGAATGCTAATGTTGGAGTTGAAGACTTCTGGCGAATTGCCAAATCGCGTCGCGACTGAAATCGCGTGAAGTATGCCCGGCCCTTAAAACTCAGTGTGCAAGTAAGGCAGGAAAAACCAGAGTCCCAGTTTGTGACCATTTCAGTAGACTCGGTGTTGATTAAAAGTTCCAAAAATCAGCACTTGTTAATTAAAACGTGCCTCCTTCAATGGTTGAATAATAATAATAGGATATCAAGAAAACAACCTAGTACTCCTTTTACTTGTAATTTGGTTTTTTTTCCATAACAGCAGTGAAAACACTAGTGAGTAATCTACTCGTGACAAACAGTATATGGAAGGACAACAGTTACGTCAGTCCATATCAGCACCAAAAAGCACACCTACTGCATTGTCTTGCAAACATCGCTGTATGTTTTTGCTCCTTGCTATCGTATTACTCACCTCGTGACTGACTTTTAGCATATTTTCGAGACCAACTGGAACATCAAGAACCATTGTCTAGTTTAGATAATGTCCACACTGACGTTTTTCATTGTCTTTGTTTCATTTACTACACTTTTGTTCCAGTTATCCTGAGGTTTTCGGAAATGAGAAACTCAACTCTTTTTGCCCTATTCTTGTCATGCTTTCTTGTCACCGCACTGCGAAAGAAGCCCCTCTGCAAAATGTGTGAAAATTTTGTTGAGGAGGTGGACACCGTAGTCAAGAAGGAAGGAGACGTGGCTGCAGTGAGTGTAATTTTTTCAGATTTTACAATTTCCAAAATCAAAAAATGGGTAGAGGACTACATATACGTCGCCGGGGGCGGTCTCCGCGGTCATTTGCAAGAAGTACGCACCCTTGCATATGCACGGAGATGCATTCCTACAAGAAATCCGCGCGGGACCCTTCTACATTCGGCGACATATAGTCGTCCACCCAAAAAAAAATTCGCGCAGAATTTTTATCATAACTGCTTAGTAAATCAAACAGATTTGACAGATTTGATTAAGGCCCTTGAAAAATTCTGTCACGAAGTTCTGAATTTTCTCATCGAAACGTGCCAGAAAATGATTCTGAAAAATCTAAAATTCATCATGGAAAGATTACAGGTGAGCTTCAAAAAATTTTTTTATAAGTTCCACTGCATGTGTGAATCTTTTAGGCGCACGAAAGATCCGAGAAGATCTGCATTGATCTCCATTATTGTGCGAATCACACAATTGGTTGTAGGTAAAAAAAATAGACCTAATATTTCTTTTACTGAATGTTACGTACTGAATGGTTATCATAAGCTGTATTCGATTTCATTCTTGTTAAGATTGTATATGAATAAATTATAACACAACTCAACTATAGACTACATGAAAAGTTGATTCAAGCCTTTTGGTGAGCCAACAAGGATAAAATTCTCTCCATCTTTTCCAGTAAAGCATATAATAAATTCTTTATAAACTCAGTCTGCATAAAAATTGCTGTAACGATAAAAGTAGGGTCCGTTGACTGGCAGGTTAGCATTATATCCATATGAAGGGTAGTACAGGAATTCACCTTGCTGTGCTTTGGTGTTGCCAGTTCTAAAAAGTATTCAGTATTTATATCTCAACCATTTTTGCATTATTTGATCAGCTGATATACGATGGTAGTGCACAACAACTACATGACAAAAAAATTAGAAATTTAGAAAATATGACAAATTTTACATCTGACAAAAATTCAATCTCGTCTCATATGACTATTTCTAATTCGTCAGCCTTCGAAGGACAGTGCAGTCCGAAAGTGAAGTCCTAACTAAGTCACAGATTAGTCATTTCTCTCCGTCCTCCTCCCCCCCCCCCTCCCTTCCCTCTTTTTTATTTGAACTTTGTGTACAGGTATCATTGCGAACCACAAAGATGATGTAACGGTTCCTCAGCCATAGGATAAAAGAACAGACGACGTGCCGTACATCAACAGCAAGAAATTTTTTTCCAAATATACAAAAATTCGGTCGACTGGTTGCAGAAGGATTAACGAATTAAATTTGAATTAAATTGAAAATTGGAATCAAAACTGATGTAGCAGTTACGCAGTACCTGAATAATTTATCGTAGTATCCAGTTTGTGCGAACTCGGAAGGTTCACCACGGAGTAATCTCTGTCTGTCGCTATAGTCATCTAGATTGTACAAAAGTGACAAATGAGGAAAACTGATAAGAAATTTGGATAAGATTCAAACATACTTTCTCCTTCAAGACATGGATAATGAGTTTTGTAGTCAACTCTTTGAGGCAAACATGGTGGTCCGAGACTGTTTGCATAAGCAGCTGTAGCAATAAATAAGCAAATCACTAGTGATAACATAGCTGATTGAAAAAGGACAGGCGGATTTCAACGACTGCGAAAAAGGGATATAAAGGCGATGTGAGCGCGGAAATGAGGGCGCTAGCAATGAAGCCAAATTTTCCGATCATACCCCGATCGTTCGCATCATATTCTTAGGGCCTCATGCATTAATATTCCCGCTGGGGAGGGAATCGCAGCCTAGAAGAAAGCTTCAAATCTTGAAACTCCAGATATTTGAATTTCACTCTGTCTATCTATCCATAAGTATTCCTACTACTCTCTCCACTATGAACATTTTGAACAGGAGCGAGGAGCCGCACAAGCCGCATTTTCCAGCTTTTTGTGTGATCTCCTGATGATCCCCAGCGGCCGACGTCTTTTCTTTGAAGTCATTTTATTTTCTGAAAGTCAATAAAAACATTTCAAGTTGTGCTGTTTATCTATCCCAACACTGCTAATCATGTTTCTGGTAAGAACAAGTAATTTTACGAAGTCATGGATTATGCGACGAGCCACAGGTCGAAAGCTGGGGCTTATTGAAAAAAAATCGATGTTTCAAAAACTCATTTGCTCTCATTAGCAACATGCTTAGCACTGTTGAGATAGGTGATAAGACAACAAAGGCTTTTGTTGATTTCGAAGGAAGAAAAAACTTTGAAGAAAAGACGGTAGAGGGGACCATTAGGGGGTCACAAAAGGCTCGAAAATGCGGCTTGTTCCAGCTTCTTGCTCCCGTTCAATATGTTCATAGTAAAGGATGGTGGGAACACGGATAGGTAAACAGCATGAAGTCCTGATATTTGGAGCTCCAGGATATGAAGCCTTTTTTGGGCTTGATCCCCCCGCGGAGGGGGCGTCAATGCATGTTAAGGGCACGTTTTCACGTTGCTTGCAGATTCCAGCAGAGAAGTTTCCTTCTCTTTTGCAATCCACGATTTGGATGTCGTTCGTAACTGCGTCCGCGAGTTACAGGTCGCACTTCGTATTCAGTTGAATTCTCTTCTTCTCAATAATAAAGTAATGGATAAGTTCGTTGCAGAATTAAAATGCTCATCTTCCCACTTTGATTGAACAAATTCTTCTGTGCATTTTTTCTGAGTACTGCAAAAAAGGCGCTTTATTGTAAATAAACTGCGTCAGACAATGAGAGAAAGTTTGCCCATTCTGTTTCGTAGTTTATCGCTTTCATCGGTCTTGGAACATACTAGTGTTTTTCGCACTTTTGTTTACACTCTTGCATGGTGCAGTACACCTGCTCGATTCCTTTTCCTTTAAAGCAATGTCCTTTGTGGCATGTGGCTGAATCACTGAAACAATAACACTTTTGTTGGGCTTCATGGTCGTATTCATCAACGAACATATTGTGTCCAGCTATCCCGTGGGTTCGCGAACCTATAGAGTAGGATTGATAACGCAAGTGCTGCGCTGGGCTCGCTTGTCCACTAGCTTCGTGGCTATCAATATCGTGGCTTAAGCCTATTCGTTGGCTTCCGGAATCCGCTGGGTTCGTGATGAATACGACCACAGGATGATGCAAATTTGACTTACCACTCTTTAGCATTGGTTACTGCTAGTAAACGAGCTCCCAAAAGCTCTAAGTGCTCTATGTCTTTCATGGCATCAGTTCTTCTTCGGGCCAAACGGTAGATTTTCATACACCTTCGGAAATATGCATCTTCGTGTACAACTCCGTATCACAAGCTGAATGTCTTCGTTCCACCACCATGTTTCCTTGTTGAATCTGGTCTGGGTCTTTCTGGTTTCGTGCGCCCTAGCAAATCTCTAATCACCTGATGAACAGTCTTCTTTAGATTCGCCCAGGACTATTCACATCTTCTTCTAACTCAGGTAGAGTACATTCTGCTGCTACTTTGGCGCTATGGTTTTCTTTGAGCTTCATCATTTGATGTGCTCTCTTTGCTCTGTCGTTGTCCATCTTTGCCTGTCGGATAGGATATTTAGGTCCAGTAGAAGTGGCATGTGTTGCGGTATGCATTCTTCACCTGGAATGACTTGCTGTTCTTCACATAATTGAGCTCACTCTGCCTTACTGCCCAAAAGTCTGTTTGCGACTTTCGGTCTCCCTGGGATACCTAACTAAATGACTGTTTTTTAATGAAATAAGTATTTGCCAGCGCTAAGTTATGAGCCGTAGCAAACTCAAGAATACGTCCACCATCTTCATTTCGTACTCCATACCCGTGGTCTCCATGACATTTTCCTGCACCACTCCTTTGTTTCCCGACGTGGCCGTTGAGATTTGCTCCAAGCAGCAGCATCTCTTCTCATGGTAAATATAGGATATAATCGTCGAGCTTATGCCAGAACACATCCTTTTCAACCTCACCGCAGCCGCTTTGTGGTGCGCAAGCAGTGACTACTCGTAAAATCTGCTTCCCATTTTCAATCCTGATGCTCATAAGGCGGTCACTTACTCTATTCACGTTGGTTATCTTCTTTCTCATTCTTTCGGGGACACTATCCTCACGCCATTTCTGTCATTACTTTGTTGTATAAGAGCTTGAATCCGTCTCCTATATCTGGCGTGCCGTTAGAGATCCTACGTTGATGGTTGCAGTTCGGAGCGATTCTGAGAACTTGTGTCGTTGCTTGTGAGCCAAGTTTTTTGACTATCTCCCCTTTGCTCGTTGAGATGGTAGCTCTTACTTTTTGTTCATGTTCGTTAGGCTCAATCGCTCGTCGCTTTTGGGGAACGCCCTAGCTGTAATTTTTTGATCTCGCTGAGACATAAAAGAGCATACCAATCGATGCGACAGTTCGTCTTCTTCAGCCTAACGCTGGGATCAACCCTCACCAATGGTCGAAGAATGGTGAGTGTCATCCCTCTGGCGGCGTAGCAGGAGGAACCAAAGGCCTTGCCTCCATACCCAGGAGATAATCAAGAGCGCGAACACTGCGGAGAAGATTTGGCATGATCCAGAACTATTTGGCAAAGAAACTTATAGAAAACTTGTAATAACGAATCCCATAACTTTGTCTGAGGAGATGTTCGAGAAACTATGGAAACAGTTTTGGATTTCGCTTTTCAAGACCTTCACTAATGTAAGAATAAGAACAAAAAAACGGATAGTTTTAGAACGAAGAATCTTTTATTTGGAAAATCGCTGGAAATCTGGATGGCAAACTCAGTGCCGGCAAAAACTGGTATACGGCTACTGACAAACAAAAAAATGTTTGTTACAGTTGCTGGAGGATTCAGATTTAAAATATCAGAAATAGCTCAGAAATCATGAGATCAAATCTGATAACTTATGGAAATACGTTTTCGCAAGGTCCAGCATTTCTCAAATCTTTTTGAAAGTGCTCCTACTTAAAATGGTAAGGCAAAAATTTAGGACGTCAAATCGTCAAATCTTCAAATCGTCAATCAAATCTTCACATCAGTGTAACATTTTCTTACAAGTTTTAAATCTGCCGAAATTTCCAAACGATGTGCACGACGTTTGAAATTTGAACAAGATTTGTTAAACATAAACCATTCGATCTCTACGCTGCATGCACGTAGAACATAAGAATTCTTTTTTGTTGGTACTTGCATTTACTGTCACAGTTTAGAAATCTATTTTGGTCTTGGGAGAAGTGGAAAATAATCTTGATTTGTTTCCAAAGTGATTTGCTATCAAGCTCTTTAGTTGCGCGACGATCTGACGACTTGGTTCTATTGATATCCAAAGGTTAATCAAAATCGGTTTTCAAATATTCAAGGACTCTTGATCGACATTCTAAAACAGCATGAGGCGTTTCGAAGTACGTTTTCTGCCAAAGTCCTTAGGAAATTGAAATGTAATGTTTTTGATTGAGAATTAACAATATTTAGCATTCGCTTATCTTCTAAATAAATGCGCCATGAAATGCCTTTTCCAGAATTGCCTCATTTATCTTTTGAACATT